AGCCCTCACAATATCTTTTCATGGCAGTAAGGATTGTAGAAGTTTGTGTTATATTTGAAAAGAAACATTCGGGATTTAATGCTCCATATGTTTATTTATTAGATAGTAAAAAGGCATATATTGGAATAAATAATATATGCCTTTTTACTATCTAATGATTTAGGTATGAATTGCTCTTTTTTCAGAACGTATATATATATTAAAATTAGAGAATATACAAATACAATAATTAAATATGGTAAACAAGTGTATTCACATTGTCGATACCTATATTTACATGTATCTAGGTGAACCCTTTTTTTTCGCTTATCCCTAGTACACGTGGTACAGGCGATGATAATCATGGTGGGTGGTTAGCGACTGCTTTTTACTGTAAGCGCACCACATGTCTACACATGTGAAAAGCAGTTCGATTTGCACTTACAAATGTGCCAGAGCTCCGTATGGTTACTTGCACTCGCTGGTGGGGTTGGACTTTTGCAAGAATCGGGGGCCATTGGAGCATTTTTTTTAAACAGAAAAAAGTGTCCAATGCGGGAATCGAACCCGGGTCGTAGTGGTCGAGAACCAAACGGTTTAACCAGCCTTCCACCGACCCCCCTTTAGTAAAGTAGATGAACCTACTTTACATATAAGCACTTGTCAGTGATTAGCAGCTACAGGATACCTAACCCAGGATTCACAGTTCGAACTGCTCTCCGTCCACATTTTGGAGTTCCAAGTTTTGAGAGTTATGGGAAACGTCAAACTTTTAATGTTAAATTTATTTATATCAACTTGTTATGAGCGTCGCTTAGCAACGTTTGTCTCTCGAACTGCGCTGTTGTTGGGTGAAAGATAAAGTTCTCGCTCGCTAGATTAACATGGGAATTGAACATTTGCTGACAGATCCCTCACATTACTGAACACTAAGGATTTTACTGAATATAGGATCTATGGAATATGAAACACTAAATTATGCATATTTTAATAGATAACCCACAGTATTAAACTCTCTATTACGAGTTTATAAGGATATTTAGGATCTTTTTTCTTCCTATCTCTAGTACACGTGATACAGGCCATGATAATCATGGTGGGTAGAAGTTGGCGACTGCTTTTACTGTAAGTGCACCATGATTATGTGCTTATGATTACACATGTGAGAAGCAGTTCGACTTTGAACTTACAAATGTGCCAGCGCCCCGTTTTGTACTTGTACTCGCAGGTGGGGTGAACTTTTGCAAGAAAGGGGGGGCGCCATTAGAGATTTATTTTAAATCATAAAAAGTGCCCAATGCGGGAATCGAACCCAGGTAGTAGCGGTCAAAACATAAAGGCTTAGACCATCCTTCCACCGACCCTCTAAATTTAGGATCTGATATATCTAAAAAATTTAATATTATACAAGTGCATTAATAGATTGAAATTTCATAATATTTAATTTATTTTTAGTATTTTAAAATCAAAAAAGTTATATCCTGACCACGTTAACAAGAACCTTTTGATGGCAGAGCGCCATCTGGTGGAACAGAAATCAACTAAACGAATATTACTATTTTATATGCAGGTAGTAAGGATTTAATTTATCTAACGATGCTGAATGGATACACGGTCTAATACATAACACATAGTTCCGAAACCTACCTTTAGGATATTATGGAGGCGGTTAGTATTTGATTTATCTAAAGAAACACTAAATTAATACATAGACTGATAGATAACTCATTGTTCTTAATTCTACTTCAGCATGTCATGAATGTGGTAAGTTTATCTAATGAATCTGCATAAGTGAGCTAATAGATAACTCATAGTTATGAATTTTCCTTTAGGATGTTATGAATTTTTTCAGTATTTAATGAATTTAACGACACGCTAAATGAATATATATAAACAAATAAATGACTCGTAGTTCTTAATTCTACTTCAGCATGTCATGAATGTGGTTGGTGCATCCAATGTATCTAACGACACTGAATGCATATTTATGCTAATATATACATCGTAGTTCGGATTTTTCTTTAGGAGGTTATGGAGGTGTTCAGTGTTTAATGTATCTAAGGACATTGATGGATACATGGGCTGATAGAAAACTCATAGGTCTGAATTCTACTTCAGCATGTCATGAATGTGGTTAGTGTATTCAATGTATATAAAGGCACTAAATGGATACATGGGCTAATAGATTTACTCATAGTTCTGAATTTTACTTTAGGATGTTATGTAAGTTGTTAGGATCCAATGTATCTAACGACATTGAGAGCATAAGTGGGCTAATAGATAATTCATATTTTTGAATTTCTTTAGGATGTTATGGAGGTAGTTAGTGTACCCAATGCATCTAACGATAATAAATGGATACATGGGCTAATAGAAAATTCATAGGTTTGAATATTCCTACTGAATGTTATGGAGGTGGTTAGGATCTTAATATGTATATAGAAAGACTAAATGGATACATGGATTAATAGATAAATCAGTATATCGGCCTCATGTTTGAAAATGTCATGGGATTTATTAGAACTTAATAATTTTGAAAACAAAATTAAACTAAACTTGAAAATAAACATGCAATATGCGAAATTTGGCGCAAAACAGCACACAGTGAATATTTTTCAATTGATGATCTAATATAAAGATATAGTTGATACTAATTAGTTAGGTTAATCATTTCTACCTCAGATGTCTTTTTAAATCATTTAAACATGATCAATCAATAGTGTATAACCAGTGTTAGGAAAATTACACGACTTCTATCTTCTTTCGATCTACAAATGTAATGGAAAAGTGTTCTTCGCATCATATATCTTCAATTCTTTGGAGAAAGGCCAAGTTAAATTGATATCCCTCTTTAGTATTTTATTAAAGTATTCGTTTTCCCCAGTTATATATAAGACCTCATCATTTGTAACATGAGTTCTCCATGTCGTCAAGATTTCATCATCAAGACATCTCTAGAAATCTGAAATTATCGGCTGAAATGGTCCATGTTCCATTCTCGTGTATTTCTGTTATCCAAATATATTGTACATGTTAATATTAATAATATTCTGAGAAATTGGAATATCTCAACTCCAATAATATATTCTCAACTTTTCTTATATATAAAATATTAAATAATTACGAATTGTCCTGGTGTGGAGCTAACACCTACCCACATATTATCATGCCCAGAAATGGCCGCAGTCTTGCAGAAAATTGACATGGACCCAGAGTAACAGCTTTGCACCCCCAAGATAGAGGACGTTGCGACTGCTGTATTAGAGATGCATGGGGACATCTGAGGCTCTTCATTGGACGCAACAACAACATTAAATAATGTATAATATAATATATATAACTTCAAATATATTGTTTATATTTTATTTTTAGCATTGTAAAAACCACCATTATTCGTAAAATTTCAAATTCCGAAAAAAAAAAAATAAATAATAATAATAATGTAAAATTTTATCAATCCTTGTAACATAAAATATATTCAAACATATGAATATGTAAATATAATTTTGAAAAACTATCCACATATTAATACACATTTTAACATTAAATATACGTATTTGATATTATAAACTATTTATATATGCACACTTTTTATATAAAAAATTACCTTTTCAAAATATTCAATGAATAATATATTCAAATTAATTTTAAAATATTCAATATAGTTTTTCTCTCTTAAACTATATTAGTATTCTTTATATATTTCTTCGGAAATGAATATAATATTTATAATGAAATACAGATCCGCATAACAATATTAGCTTTATCAATATATTTATCAGTAATAGCTTTGCTATCCTATAGCATAGTATAGTATATGATAATTCTATTATTAATAGATGAAGTATTTGTGTCTGAAAGGGTTTTAATTTTTTCGGTACATCAACTATGAACTAAACGCAACCAATCGCTTTTAAAAATCACTTAATATAACTCTGAATAATGAGTTATTGTAGAAAATAATTGTATTGTATAGACATCAAAGATTAATGCTCTATGGTGTGAGATTTGCGATAAGTGTGTTTCTAATATACAATATGTAATAAATATCTCGTGTATTTGATATAATAATATTATAATTATATTATTAGTATAGGTGATGTTATGGTGTCTATACTTTTGAATAATGAGTTATTGTAGACAGTTTTTAAATTGTATAGACATCAAAGATTAATGCTCTATCGTGTGAGATTTGCGATGTGTGTGTTTCTAATACACAATATGCAATAAATATTTCGTATTTAATATAATAATATTATAATTCTATTATAGGTATAGGCGATGTAATGGGGTCTAATATTTTCGGTTATATCCACTCTGAACTAAACGAAACCAATCTTTGTTTAAAAATCACTTACTTTTGAATAATGAGTTATTGTAGACAGTTTTTAAATTGTATAGACAAAGATTAATTCTCTATGGGGTGAGATTTGCGATAGGTGTGTGTTTAATATACAATATTTAATACTATTCCCGTATTAATAATTTGAGAAGCGAATGTTTTTAATTTACTTTTTCACTTGAAGTGGGGGTAATATGCGATATAGTTTGATTATCATTAGAGAGAGCAGAAATTATAATAATTTATTTTTCGTTAGCATATCCATTTTTGGTAACATATTATAATCAACAATCATTTTGAGTATCAATCATTAATTTCATATATCGAGATTCAGATAATAACTCTGAAAGATATTTGATACACAGTGGAATTTATTGAAGACAAATGAGATAACCAAGTGTGAATAAAAATACCTCTGTTTCTTTCAAAAGAAAGATTACCAGAGACACCGAATTATGATACTACTTCAATATTTATCTATTTTGTCCAAGTTGTGTCCTTCAAGTCGAGATCAAATTAAACGTTGTGACTATATTGATCATAATTCTTCAAAATGATCTGTTAGTGATCAACACTTGCAGATCATCTAGTGATATTTCGGTAGCACCCTTGACCCCTTCTAGCTCATTGCAGGTCTTCCTCTCTTTCTTCTTTCTTCATTTTCCTATATTTAACTTCATCCCACGTGGTCTAGGTGCTAGGATATCTGTCTTTCACCCAGAAAGGCCCGGGTTCGATTCCCGGCGTGGGAATTTTTTTTCGGGGCTCAAAAATCATCCCTTCTGTTTAGCAGCCCCGTAAATAAAGATATTTCCTCCTCTTTATTATATATTTTATCTGAATATAATTTTATTTTATTATTAGATCAATTATATTTTTAAAAATACGAATCATATATATCCATTAAAATTAAATATAATTATTTTATATTTGAAATTGATATCACTTTAAAATTGTATTTTGATTTTGATATCGATAAAAGAGTATACATTCTTTAAAATATAAAATATCAATCGAATTCTTTTTCTCAACTATACCTATGAAGAATCAACAAAAGATAAAAATTGTTAAAAAAAAACAAAGATATAAAATATAAAAATATATAAATATAAAAACGTTATATCAATTGATATATTTTCTCAACTTTAGACCACTTTTATGAAATATCCACAAAGGATAGAAATTGTGAAAGTAAAAAAAAAAGGAAATAAAAGTATCTTCTGTTTATTTTCCAACTTTCCTTCAGATAGCTATCAGAAGACAGAAAAAAATCTAGTTTACGTTGGATATTTCCGGTTTAAAAGATTTTTTTTTAAAGTTTTTTAAAATCGCCAATTATTGGCGGATATTATTTTTTAAAAACTAAAAATTTAGTTTATAAAATCTATTTTTCCTAATTAATTTTATATATCTCCCCATCAAAAATATGTATTTAAATAGTTAAAACAAAAAGAGATTTAAAATACGGGCAATTTAAAATACTTAAAAAAGAAATAAACCGACAAAAAGGAAATAGATTTCCTTTGAACGATGTTGAATCTCTTAAAAGGAAAAAAAAAAGCTTTAAGGAAATAGCAAATTAAATAGTAATAATTTAAATAATACACCATGTAGCTATCTTCCACATATGTCGGTCTTCTTTTGTTTATAGTTCTTTGTATATTGTTAAATTGTTGCGTTTAATATATATATTATTTAGTAATAAATGTATATATATTATAATATATATAATATATATGTGTATATTATATAATCTAAATATAAAAATATTCTATAATTCAAAATTATATATTTTATTTTCATTCATTGATAATTCTATTTGTTTTTTGTCCATAGTTTTAGAATACGCCGACTTTTAATACTTGTTGTAAATATATAGTTATCTAACCAATTTTTGAAATTCAATGATATAGAATTCATTTCATAAATTCAATATAACTGTGAAAAAATGTCTTATTGCAATTATCTTCAAGTAATTTAAAATAAAAACTATTTAATAGTAAATAATTATTCTTCTGCTTTTCTTTCAAGATGACACGACTACAAACGATACCATTAAGTACTCATGAACTCAAAAGAACCAGCAGTTAATCTCTATCTCAAAATAATATTTATTATAACATTTTTATTATATGAAAAGATTTGATTCTGTTTTTTTCGTAATTAAATATATATAGAATTATTAGCTTTTGCTTGATTTTGATATGCGTGAGTATTTTAGATATTGTTTGCAGTTGTGTAAACAGTATAATATTAATAGTTTGGATCAGAATTAGCTATAAATGAACTAAAGGAATAAATAGAAATAGATTTTGATAAAGTAATACCTGTTTTAAGAAGAATAGAATAAAGAAAACAAAAGGCTTATTTACATATCTACAGAAAGATTTGAGCCTGCCAACGGAAAACAACAACAATAGGTTTTATATAGGGAAAGCAGCGACATCTTGCGGTGGACTTTAAAGAGTAATTTGATCTGGGAATTATAATTTTAAAATTGAATATAATTTTTATATAACATGTAATAATTCTAATATATATAATATATGTTTATATAATATCCCTATTGGTAAATATTAAATATAAAATTTGGTTAGAGAGAGAGATTGTGATTGAAAATTCTTTATTACAATGTTCATATAAATTTATATATTATAAGGTGATAAGGTGCCATCTTTATATAATAAATATAAGAATTATAAAGCACGAATGTTTCTTTTTTAACGCAAAACAAACTTCTACTGTTTATACTGCGATGATAAATATATTGGGAAGGCTTGGTTCTTTTCAGTGGTGAACCCTCCAAGCGGTTTCGTCAATTTAATCTACCAGACCGCTTTTCAGAGCTCTAATACTGTATTGGATTATTCTGCTTATATATTCTACAATTAAGAGTGGATTATTAGAATTTTAATCAATAAAATTATGGACATAAGCATTTAGTACAGCAGAATTGCGTATAAATATTTGCATTTGCAATGCTCTTCCGCAAACAATAAGTACAAGGCCAGTTAGGCTTATTTATTATAAGGTGATAACGTGCAATCTATATATTAGAAACAGAAGAATTATGAAGCACGAATGTTTCTTTTTTTTAAAGCAAAACAAACTTCTACTGTTCTTACTGCGATGAAAAATATATTGAGAGGGCTTGGCTCATCAGTAGAAGTTTGGGTTTTCGTTAAAAAAATAAACATTCGTGCATTATAATGCTTTTATTTCTTATAATTGTTTTATATGTTTATAAACAAAATTTGATATAAAAAGGTAATAAGACCAATCGAAATAAATAAATAGTGTGTGACGTTTCGGTAACAGCTTTGTTACAATCTTCAGACAAAAGTACTGAATGTGCATGTTTTATATAGTTACTGTTATCATGTGTGTAAACAAGATAGAGGATAAGAAGAAGACAGTTAAAACATTCTGAGGTAAAATTTCGCATTCAGTACTTTTGTCTGAAGATGGTAACAACACAGTTACCGAAACGTCAAAAACTATTTATTTTTTTGGATTTAGTCTTATTATCTTGTGTTTATAATCTACTAGCGGATGTGTACCCGTCTTCGCCCGGGTTTTATCCGAGTGAAAGTTTGCCTAACGAATATTATATATTATGAAGTATAATAAACAATGTTAAAGATAAGTTTTAATTATTAATCAAGATTGTGTGTGAATATGTGAGAAAGATGTAATATCGTTGTTGTTTACTTGGCCGACTGTTTTACATATGGTGTTATCTTAAAATTGCTTGTTTTGAATATATTTTTAGATTGAGTTGAATGAATCGCTGATTTTTTTTTTTGTATTTATATATAAATAAAATTATCTCTGTTGATTTTTTTTTGTATTTAATCGATAACAGCGAAGTTACGCATGTTAAAGTTAGGAAAAATATTTTGATGTTAAGCAAAACCTGCTCCATCTCGTTTCACATAAATGTTGAAAATTTGGTCGAAATTGATGCATTGTAACGAAAGTTTTTAGCGAACACCACTTATGAAATTTGCATTTTATTAATATAGATAATTCAAATTGTGCCTTATCAAAATTTGATATAAATAAGACTAATAATGAAAAATAATAAACAAATAGATGAAGTAAATGATGTAAATATATAATGGATACATAAATTCAATACATGAATATATACAAGTTTACTCTGGTAGTGTCTACCACGGGAAGTCTCCGCCACGTAAAAAAAAAGATTGAGATTGAAACTTCTTCATTATATCGTTCATATAAGGTTAAATATAAAATAAATAGAGTGAGAAGATACTATATATAAAAGAGTTTGAATGAATACTTTAGTCATCTTTACAGCAGAGAATTCAAAATTAGAGGGCCTGGCTCATCAGTTATGAAACTTTCCATCTATATAAATGCAACCCTTAGCATCCAAATATCGGTAGTTTTACCAAACATTCAACATATAGAATATATTCGGAGCTATTATAGATGCCTTTGATTCTTTTAAAATTAAATAATATCTAATGCCCTTGCTGCAATGTAAAATTTGATGTGAGGGCCGGGCTCATCAGTGGTGAACTCTCCCTGCGATTTCGTCAGTTAAATATACCATACCGCTGTTATATTGATTAAACTCGCTAAACCGCTAAGGGTTCACCACTGATGAGCCAGGCTCTTCCATAATTTTTTTTCCATTGCAGTAAGGGCAGTAGATATTGTTTAATTTTAAAAGAATCATACGCGCCTATAATAGTTCCGAATTTTCATAACAGATGGCGCGCTAATGCATCATAATATAAAATAT